CATTAGAAATCACCTCACAAATATACATGTATGCAATATTTTTGGTCGTATCCAAGGTAGTCATGTCCTCATCATCCTACCCTTCTTGAAAACAAAGCCGTCCTTGGCGTTGCTTAATCTGAAATGTGGTTAATAAAAGAGACAAGGTGTACATGTTGTATATGTATATGTCATCCATCTTTACTTTCCTTAATTTTTGCACATATGACACATGTATGCATGAGTAAATTTCATAATTCACAAAATGTAAAACCAAAATATTATCACAAGTATTAGAAGGCATGAAAATATTGCAACTCAATTTGCACATATAAGTGAAGCTCTTATTCATATCAAAAGATTGACAATGTTCATCATTAAACCATCTCAATATTGGTGAATAAATCTTATTTGCATCAAATTTACATGCTACCACATGCTTAAATAAGCAAACATGCAATAAGTCATTTGACACAAAATCATCACAAAGATTAAATGTCATATCAAAATGATTAAACATGGATTCTTTTGCATCAACAACTAATTCAATGGGTGCACTCGACATTATTGATATTGCATTTGTTTGATCACATGCCAAAGTCAAATCATCAACATAGCCCTCTAAAATAGGTGGTGTGATCAAAGTAGTGGGTAGGTCATCACATGGTGAACTTAAATTGACAAGGTATTCATCATACTCATGTGGAGGTGGAAGATCAATACCTTTGTCATTACCTTTTATTATAAACTCAGATGATGTAGACACTTACGATGGTGATGTGTTACATGGTGGAGATGATGTAGCCCTCACAACAACGGATGTGGTTGTCATAGTATGTCTAGTAGTTGAAGGAACAATCGTATCAACTCTTGGAATGTGCACCGTGCGCTTGTTCTCCTCGTGGGCAATTCATCATTTTATTTTCTGTCCAGCTTTGCAAGCAAGACGAAACAAATGGTCCATAGGATAACACTCTTCATGAATTAGTATCTCTTGAATATCATGGATTAATCCTCCCCAAAATCTATCCATAAAATCATCTTCACTTTCTTCTAAAGAGGAATGCAACAAGGTAGTTTGTAAATCATCATAATATTTCATTACAGTGTCACTACCTTGTTTTAAATGTTGCAACTTTTTAATCATGTCACGAGTATAATAAGCGGGGACGAATGTATGTTGCATGACAAGTTTCAAATCATCCCAAGTAGTAGGTATATAATCAGGGTGTAACCAACAATATTCACTCCACCAAACCAAAGCATAACCAGTGAAAGAACCAACCACAACTTTAACTTTTTTATGCTCATCAAAATTATGGGAAGCAAATATATTTTTATGTCAAACTCCCATTCAATATATAAAGCAGGTCTGAAACGGCCATTAAATGGTGGTATAGATACATCAACCTGATCATGTGCATTTGGATGTTTGTGCACCTCTCGTGACGGTTGTGGTACTTGCAAAGGTGGTGGCACATCTCCCGCGATCGACAAAGCCCATGGATTGACTCTGGATCCTGTCATGATTAGTAGAAACAAGAAACAAAATCCAAAAAAAAATGTTCCTATGAACTACTTGGAAATGGTGGTAAAACGCTCACAGTATAGCAAATCTCAATATCTTACAAGTTCTTACCATGCAGCAGGTGGTGACCGGCAACCAGCGGTGTCAAATAACTCTGAAGATTGAGTAAAGCGATTGCCAGGGGAAAGTGCGTATACACGGTGTAGAAATATGTGGAGCTTGGAAGGCTTAAGTATATGGTAGCAAAAGATTAGCAATAATCAATTCAGAGATGCAATGTTGAAGAAACGCTCAACGACGGTACTGTGCTGGTCTTAGGCTAGACCGTACTAGAGACGCGAGCCTAGAACACTAATGAGGTTACGACGTATCACAACTAGCATTAATAAAGGATATTAAGTAGCTCTGGACAGCAAGATATAAGTGAAGATCACAATAACAGTAAAGATAATGATGAGAAACAACGACGAAGCATGATATGCCAACAAATTTCTCTAACTTTTCTCTGGAAAAGTTTGTGCCAATTTTCAAGAATGGCACTGACTCAAGCTTTCAAAGCAAAAAGAATCACTCAATTCCGAGTTGATACGAGCAGTCAAAAAAATCTAAATTGGCCTGAAAAACTGGAATATGTTGTGTTCGCGAACTTCGAAGGGCAAACATACCTATTTAGAAACCGATTTTGAGGTGCCAAATATTGAACTAGTTTCGGCAACTATTTAGATGCGGCTCGTCGCTAGTTTTAATTTGAGTACTCGCGGAGCCAAAACGGACTTCGTATGAGGAAATTATGCCTGTTTTACTGAACAGTGTAAAAAACAGATTCCAATCCGAGTTCAGCTACCAGATTGAGTCTAGATAGATCCGAATTTTGTTTTTTTTCTTCTTTTTTTCCTCACACTTTTTTACTTTTCTCTCTCTTTTTTTCCTCTGTTTTTTCTCTCTCTCTCCCTCTTTCCAAAACAAACTAGATAAGATGCATATTGGATCAAACGAAGATGTAAACAATCTCAACTATGATTATGGCAATGAACGGTGGGTAGCACGTGGTGGAAATTGATGGATGGGTGGTGGACAACGAAGGGATAATGATGCGCCGGCGGCTTGACTAATGTGAACAAAACTTGAAACTCTAAACAAACTAGACACTAAGACCAGCAACTCGACACGACGATGCAACCGATAATTCAACTATGCAAGCAATGAAAAGAAAATTGCAAAGGCTCAGACTAACTTGGACAAAGGATGAATAGATCTTACTATTTTGTGGCTTTTTCTTGGACAATAAGTAAGAAAATAAATCTAATCTAGGAAAAACTGGAAATTCTCACCGAGCAACCTGAAAACTGATACAACTTGATAGAGGCAAAGGTGTCTTGTCTTTTGATGAGATGGTGGCTATCATTTTTGATGGAGTAGACTTTTACGATCCGACTATGAACGTGCGAGGACGCCGCGCCTTAGCAATCACTAAACCAACTCCGCGAGATTATTAACCACGCCGGAGCATGATCAACCTGACCACGAGGGTCTATTTCCTGCAAGCAAACGAAGAATAAGCAAGAAACTAAGATTGCAATCTGGATACTGCAAATAAAAGAGGAACACTTTATTGATCAAGTGGGGTTCTGTGACGTCTTGGTCTGGTCGTTGAACACAAACGAAGTATGCGAAGTTGCAGCTATGACGAACTTTTAATCTAAACAAAACCCAAAGTCTAAACAATGGCCCGGCTGTATATATGGAGGAAGAGGGGGGAATTTCGTGGCCCTTGGAGGAGGGGTCCGAAACCAACCCTAACTCTTGTTTCCCCACACATACGGACTCTAAAAAACAACCTATACTCAAGTATTTCGAAATTACATGGGGCTGGCCCAATAATAAAGTGACGCAGCACCTAGAATAGCCTCTGGACGAGATTTATGAAGTGGCATCTTGTATATTTCGTGCAAGGCTTCATGAACTCATTATGGTGGTTTCAAAGTCCTAAAATCATCACTTGTAACTCCGTTCTTGTTCCCCTTGCGCATGCCATCATCTCCATGCTTGAACTTGCTCCAAGGTTCATCTTTCTTGTCCCAGCTAGGCCCTTCATTTGTAAGCAAAACAAATGTATCCAATTTAGGCGGCATCATATTCTCATGAACATTAAAATCGTTACTAAGAAACGAAAGTACCTGGTAATTCAATTGACGTGCGCAAGCTCTAATAATTGGTCCAATATGTATAGTAGCAGGGGTTGTGGGTGTAACAATGATATTGATGTCCTCATCATCTCTAGTCTTTAGGAAACATATAGTATGACTTGGGAAGCACTATACTATTGGCGGCTTGAAGGAATTATATTGTATGAATGGACGAAGAATGAAAAAAAAGAACTTAGTCTACCATTGACGACTTGAAGCACATATATTGTATGAAAGGACGAAGGCCGAAAACAAATTGCTGTTATGTTAGAAGCAAATGAGTTTTGCGATGGAAACCATTCACTTGGTGGATGGAAGCAAAAAAAAATTCTAGGGTTGAAAACCTAACAAAAGATACAAGGAATCCACATCTTCTCATGTGAAAAAAAATCTTGGATGCAAGATTTTGTTTCATTGAAGTAAAGTTCTTGGACAATCGTTTTTGGTCAAATCAAACTTTGATTTCAAAAGAAGCAAACTGTGCGTCAATGGAAGCAATTTTTTGTTGTGTTGGAAACAGAAATAAGGTTGAGTGAATTTTACTAGAATGACTTTTTTCCAAAAATAAAAAAAGGGACAAAATTTGATTAGCTAGTATCCAAATTTAATTGAGCGATCAAAGCAGACGCAGCATGGTCAACTCGGTTTTGAGAAGCAACTACCCCAAAAGTGAATTGCAAGACACATGTTTCAGAGAGGTTACAGGAAGCACTCAATAAAATGGGAGTGTTACGTACGTACAGAACCTACCAAATAAGAAGCTCCCTCTTGAACATGATCCAGCGTCGATTAGCCACTAATCCTACGACCGTGCACTAGCCTGATGGGATGCTAGGAATCAGTAGTCTGATTCCTAGTGGTTCCTACGTACTAGCCCATCCAAAGACTAAGAAAGTACGGGGCATTTGGTATTTTTTCTTTTTGTAAAAAGACAGGGGGAGAAGATTTAATCTGGTCGTTGGATGGAGAATGGCCGCAGCGGAGCACGGATGGGAGCATTGCCCGCGGAGCAGGCAAGCCCCGTCCCCTCGCAACCAGTCGAGCCCTACCCGCTAACTGGGAGTAAAGTCTGTTTTAAACCCTGAACTCGTACGCTTCGTCGATTTTGAACCCCAACCTCCAAATCCCGGAAATCTGTACCCTCAACTCTCTAATCCCAGTCATTTTCGTCCTTAACTCCGTCTGATGAGAGGATTAGCTGACGTGGCAGTGCGGTAGGCCAGGTTTGCTCTCTAATTGGTCCACGTTGGTTACCCCCCTCTCTCCCAGCTCTCTGTTTTTGTTTTACAAGAACGCCGCAAACCACCATGTCTTTGTCCTCCGCTGATTCATCGTATTCTCGCGGCAGTGGGCTTCGAAGGAGAGGCGGGGTAGCAAGGTCTCCTGTGCCCTATCGCGAGCACGCCATGGATTACGAGCCGACAGTGATTTGCAGTCGATGCGGCAGGAAGGCGCCGCGGTGGATATCCTGGAGTCCGGCGAACCCTGGTAGGAGATATTATTCCTGCGTTGATTCTCATGTAAGCATGATTCCCCACTTGTCCTCCTCCTTCTCTCTGTTATTTGTCTGAATTTCTGATTTCTCTATCATGACCTGAGCAGCACGGCTTCATCGACTGGCATGACACCCCCACGACGCCATTTCTTCGTCAATTGCTAGGAGATCTACGAGACAAAGTGTGGAGGCTGGAGGATGAGCTTGCTGGGCAGTCACCAGAAGGAGAAGTTGTTCTTTTGAGAGAGGAATTGGAGAAGAAAAATGCTTTAGTTGCAGAAATGGGAGCTAGATGTGATAGCAAACATGAGATGGAGATGTATAAGTCTCTGTTTTATGGCATGGTGCTCTTTGTTGCTGGTTTAGTTGCAGGGTTCTTTCTTTTTCAGTAGTTCTTCTCATAGGATCTGTTGATGTATTTGGGTGATTTTCCAATGTAATGGATCTATTGATGTTTGAAATGAAAATGAAAGTGTTCATGTTTGGCAACATTTGGTGTGAAATTAAAATTGTGAATGTGGTTGCAAATGGAAATGGCAGATGACAATGCCTACAAAAGGGCTTTTGGCAGCATGTCTATACATTTTGGCATATGTATAGTGCTTTTGGCAGCATGTATATAACATATGCTATTAACTAGTTACGACTCATCTACTAGTCGATGACTAGTTAGGACTCATCGACTAGTCGACGACTAATTAGGAATCATGGACAAGTCGACGAATAGGTAGGAATAGTCGACTAGTCGACGACTAGGTAGGACTAATCGACTAGTCGACGACTAGTTAGGAATCATCAACTAGTCGACGACTAGGTAGGACTCATCGACTAGTCGATGACTAATTAGGACTCATCGACTAGTCTACGACAAGAGGTTTATATGGTTAAATGCAAATTGAATTGGCAATGCAATAGTATGAAATTGGCAGCACATATATAGCTCGAGAACTAGTTCATAATGCCAGCATCACACGGTTCAAAAGTGACCGCGAAAGGTAAGCATGAACATGAGTACAGAATAGCATGCTCAACATATTACAAAAGTGACAGCCAGACCATAGGTTCATAATAGCTGTTGCCATTACCACAATTACTGAAGATGTAATCCAGTAACTGGAAAACATCTTTAGAAATTGCCACTAGCATTAAAGTAGCTTGAGAACCCTCCACTTGTTCCTCTCCCTGTTCCTCTCCCTGAGCCTCTCCCTGTTCCTCTCCCTGAGCCTCTCCCAGGATTAGAGCAAGTTGCCACTCTAGGAGCTCTGAAACTTGATGTTGCAGCATGAGAACCTGATGTGCCAGCATGAAAACTTGTTGCTGTAGTTCTTGAAGGCTGAGCTTGACTGGTTGTTGCTGCTGGAGCATTAGTTCTTGGAGCTTTAGACCTTCTTGGAGCTGAAGATTTTGGCCCATCAGTCTGAGCTTGCTGCAAACAAAAGAGATGAATGAACAGAGCAAAGTAAGTATGTATTTGTGCAAAACTAAGCATAGATCAAAAGTAAGAAAAGCAAAGCAATGATCATATTAGCACCTCTGTTTCCCTTTGCTTCCTCCCTCTTTTTCCAAGATATACTTTAGTTTTCTGGGTTCTATCCCCATTCTTTTTACAACCACTTTTGTTGTGTCCCTTACTTCCACAAGATCCACAAGTAATCTGTATGCCATGCTTGCTCATTTTCTTCCCCTTTGGAGCTTCACCCTCTTCTCTTCTTCTGTCATTATTTTTCTTCCTTGCTCCTGGCATGGCAACGTATCCAGGTGCAACTGGCCTAGGGTTTTGAGACACAGGCCAGTTCTCTTCTTCTAGAACAGGCTGGAGACAACGCTCATAAATTTTATTGAAAGTCTCAATCCAGTAGCACTTGTCTATGTAGTCATCTACCTTTCTTCCACTCTTGTATATAGCTGCAATAGCATGACAACAAGGGAGGCCTGTCAGTTGAAAGTAACCACAAGTACAAATCCTTTTATCAAGATTTACTGTGTACTTCTTCTTTCTACCCTTCATGTGCTGCACCTCAAATCCCTCTTTGCCATTCCAGAGCACCTCAATGTATTGTGTCAATCTAATGCTGACCTGGAGTTTCTTGAAAATATTTGGGCAAATTTTGCCCTTCCATGTTGCTGATTTGGCTCTCTGCTCTTGCAACCTAACAAGCATTTTCTTTCTTATCATCTCTTGTTGTGAAATTATTGGATAGAATCTTGATTCTATAATGGCATTGTTAAATGACTCACAAAGATTATTGTCTACTGACTCACAGTTAGCTCCTGTAGGGAAAAATGCCCTAGCCCAATGAACTGGTTCTGTCCTCATGATATCCTTTGCACCATCAGGAGTTAGCTGAGCAAGCCTTGCCTTGTTGTAGTTAAAATCCTCTTTGTTTGCAGCTTTGGCAATTGCCCAAAATCTCTTTTGGTACTCATGGTCCTTGTATTTCTTCCTCCAATTGGCATATATATGCCTGGCACACATCCTGTGCTCTGCCTTGGGCAAATAGTCCCTCATGCTGTTAATCAAGCCCTGAAAATAGTGAGACATGCCATATTTTAGAAAAGGAAGTAAGTTTTGCATTTGAGAAAAGCAAGTAAAATTTGCATTGTCCTAATTCATTAATATTACATTACAAAGTAGAAAAGCTCCTAATTTTACCTTCTGCTCATTAGAAATGAAAACCCATCCTGCTCCTTGGTCATTAATATCCAAGTCTTTGATTAACAGAGCAATAAACCACTTCCAGCTATCATTTGTCTCTTTCTCCACCACAGCCCAAGCCACTGGGTACATTTGATTATTGGCACCCCTTGCAATTGCAGCCAGCAATTCACCTTGACAAGCTCCCTTGAAAAAGCAGCCATCTAGTCCAACGACTTTTCTGCACCCTGCTTTAAAACCTTTCTTCATAGCATCAAAACAGACATAGTATTGCTAAAAAATGTTCTTCTGCAGGTCAGTTGGATCTAGTGTAATGGCCACTATATTGCCAGGGTTGCTCCTGAGCAGTTCTAGTTGGTAGTCAAACACTTTTGTATACTCACTTTTCATGCCACACATGAGTTTATCAAGTACATTTTTTTGCTGCCTTGCATTTTGAAACTGACACATCTGCAAACATATCTTTGAGCACTGTGGCTTTTATGCTGTCAATTTTCCACATTGGATTTGCTAGGATAATGTGTTCATACCTATTTGCAATCACCTTGGCACTAACAAGTTTATTTTCCCTGTTCTGTGCACACTGGTGCTCATCTTCATAGGTAATTACTTGAAACCTAGAACATCTACTTGTCTTGGCACCATACAACATCCAGGGACAACCAGGCCAGCCACATTTTGCTCTCACCCTCTGCTCCTCAGATTTTACAAATGATATGCTCCTTTTAGTAGCAAGTCCATACCTCTTCAGTGCTTTCACTAATTGGTTCTTGCTTTTAAAAACCATTCCCAAGCAAAAATGTGGAATTTCTGTATCTGGGTTGAACCTAACATACCTGCTCTTCCTCCTAACCATCTGACCATCTTCATCTTCATCATAACTATAATCCTCATCAGAGGACTCAAACTCTAGGTCCTGTGCAGCTTCTTCCACATTAGCAATTAGCTCTATAGGAACTGGACCTGTTGACTCCTTTGAGAACCAAATTTCTGAAGCTTTCATCTTCTTCTTGAATTTCCTGGCATGTTTCCTCAACTCTACTACCTCTGGTTCCTCTCCACTGTCATCAGTATGTGCCACATAATCAGGATCATCAGAATCTTCAGAGTCTGAAGCATCTTCTGCAGCTTCTGGAATTGTAGCTACAGTTTGGCTAGCAACAAAAGGCTGAGAAGGATTCATTATTTGAGAACCTTGGGATAGTTCATCAACTCTCAAGTTTTTCTTCACAGGGCTGGTTATCACTTGAGTAACCACACCACCCTCATTAGGAACTAATATATTTTCCAAAATGTCTGACTCTGCTACTGCATCTACTTGCTGAACATTTGTTTGAAAAAAGTCTTCTTCTTCTACAGTGATAACTGCATCTGGTTCTTCCTCACTGCCATTGTTCACCATGTCATTCAGCTCATCTTCTTCAAAATCAGAGCCACTATCTTCTTCCTCTAGTTCATCTTGCTCACCATTGTACTCCACATACACATCAGCAACCCCTCCATCTGTACTCTGACATCTTCATGCAACCTTCATCAGTGTATAAAAACAATAGTCCATTAACCAACTCTCTCCCTGGCATAAGAAAATACAACTTCATGCTCTCTTTAACTGTTATATGATCTGCTAAAAATCCTCTGAGCTCTGGCAGTGACAACTTATCCCTCTCTAACACTGACATTGCACTATCCCCCCCAACATAATCAAGAGTTGGCCCAATATGAATGAACTCCCCTCCATAGTGAAACCTGACATTGAGCACCTCTGCTGGATCCATGAATTGATTGTAAAAAAACCTACAGAAGCACATATCTTCAATCAGTTTACGTACATTCAGTGCAATATTTACTTTCACACAAAACTTGCAATCAAAAACCTACATTCAGTGTAATACAACGTGTTACTACTGCAGAAATCTTCAGTAATCTACACTGCAACATCTAATCAGACAGTTTACCTACATTCAATGCAATATTTACTTTCACACAAAACTTGCAATCAGAAACCTACATTCAGTGTAATACAATGTGTTACTACTGCAGAAATCTTCAGTAATCTACACTGCAACATCTAATTTCAGACAATCTTCCAACACAGTTACTAAACTGACTACAACGCTACAAAAAACTTTTAAACCTACAATCCATGTAAGGTTTCCGTCTATGAATATGTATTTGGCCCCAAATCACTCCATTGAACAGGACACAAAATCGAAAAAAAACCACCTTTGGCCACTGTAGAACCCTAAACCTAACTACAGGCAGAAAGAAAAAAAATCCCACCGATCAAGCACAGGTCAAGAGAGGGCTGCGATCATCCACTCAGCGTCGCCATTGCCGCCGCGGGAGGAAGCTGGTGCGTCGGGACAGAAGGGGAAGAGGCGAACCGAGCGAGGAGGGATGCGAGCTGGTTTGGCTCAACCATTTAGTGCGTCCAGCGACCAAGCGAGGCCCACAATGCTAGCTGACTCAGCGTTCCCAGCCTTCTACCGTTTGGATACGACAGCAAGGACGAAAATGACCGGGATTAGAGAGTTGAGGGTACAGATTTCCGGGATTTGGAGGTTGGGGTTTAAAATCGACGATGCGTACGAGTTCAGGGTTTAAAACAGACTTTACTCGCTAACTGGATCCTCTGACCAACGTCACTGGCCTGGCCCATGTGTCAGCGACAAAGACTTCCTCCGGCAAACACGCACCATCGCGTCTCGGCGAGACACGCTTGTGCTGTGCCATTTT